CAATGACATGAGACAAAGTATATGTGAACTGCTGTATGAAAAGTGAATTTACTCTGTAAATCTTCACCCAAATCCTAATAAAAAAAAAAAAAAAAAGAATAATGTAGAATCTGCAAAACACTACATAACGTGGATGAACTTGGAGGACATTATGCTGAGTGAAATAAGTCCATCACAAAAGGACAAATATTGTATTAGTCCATTATTATAAAAGTCAAGGAAACATTTATCTATGGAAGAACATTTTCTTTGTTGATTACCAGGGGTGGGAGGGGAGGGAACACTGTTAGATAGATACAGATAAGTTTTGATTTGGGTGAAGAGAAGGGCAATGTACCAAACGTAAGTGACCAATATAGTGGCATTAAGGAAGAGAAAGACATAGAGAGGTACGTGGGAGGTACAGACAACAAAGATGAACTCTCTTGCACATATAGTACGGTGTTGTCAGTGAAGGCAAACATGGGTATATGGGTGGGTGGATGGGTGAACAGGCTGAACTATTAGATATGTCTATGAAGTGGGGAGTGTACCCAAGAACATGTATAGGGTTGGCAGACAATGGTCCTACAACTTTATGTGTATGATATGAATTTCCAGGTGTATAGTGGAGCTGACAGGGGGCAAGGTTGTAGTCACTGATTGGTCACAGCCAGCTACCCAGAGGGACCGAGTAATTGAACCTATGGGCTCGGGACCATAGTCCCAGAGGACATCAAGCTCAACTGGCATAACATACTACACAAAACATTGTTCTACCTCCTACTGTGGCAGGTAGCAACTGGGATCTTAAAAGCTTGCAAGCTGCCATCTAGATGCAACGAAGGGTCTCTCCTCGTCCAGAGCAAAGAAGAATGAAGAAAACCAAAAATTCATAGAAACAATTAGGCCTAGCAACTGGTACACCATCCAATCTGCAGCCTACACGACTATGAGACCAGAAGAACTAGATGGTGCCTGGCTACTACTGTAAACCACTTGGAAGAGGTAGGACATCCTGGGTAGAGAGGGAGAACAATGTGGAACAAAACTCAAAATCATTTGGAAAAAAAAAATAAAGGGGGGACCAGGTTTGCTGGTCTGATAGAGCCTGGTGGAACCACTGAGACTATGGCCCCTAGCTGTCCTGCAGGTCTGGAATTGAACCCACACCTGTGGCTTCCAACCAAACAATAGACAGGCATATGAGTTGAACATTTACCTGAGGTAGATACACTCCTTGTAGAGAACAAGCATGGGAGAAAGAAGGGCTGCTTATGCACAGGGAGACAGCTCAGGGGGCAGGAGTGCATGGAGGGATGGACACAGGGAAGAGGTAACTATTGGGAGGAAGTAGAAGGGGAGATGTCGCACTGTGGTAAATTGTGGTCAATGTCATGAGACAAAGTGTATGTGAACTGCTGTATGGAAAGTGTATTTGCTCTCTAAATTTTCACCCAAATCACAAAAAAAAAATAAATCACAGCTCTTGACTGTGACTCATTCATGTGAACTGCTACAAGTCAAAATGTCTAGTTTCTGCACTTAAATCTTTCATTAGATTCCACAGGGCAGCAAGTCACCAGCTCCCCCTTGGTTAAGGATGACAACCAATGGGGTCCTGTGAGTAGAAAAGTGTTCTTCTGGACTAAAAACCACATGGACAGAAGCAACACCTAAATTTATAAAATGTTTAACAATCACTTTTAAAATACAGCTTTAAAAAAGTACATTGTGGAACTCCATTCAACTTTCTGTACTGTGTACATGCTGATGGTTTCCTTCATCCTAGATGATTGTTTTTGTTTTGTCTTTGTCCTGTCCAAGATTTAATAAAAATGTTTCCATTTAAAGACAAAAAAAAAGTACTGTCTGCTACTTCAGATAAAAGCACCTTTTGGTCCACAGTCTAAATCGTTATTAAGAGGAACAAACACAAACTCTAGAAATGGGCTCAACAATACTCAAAACAAATTATAGGAACATACTTTTATGTGGACCAGTCTCTGATGATTTTCTCCATAGCAATTTTTAAAGCATTTCTGGGCCAAGTTTAATTTTTTTTCTGCATCATCAAGGCATTCCAGTTGCTCCAAGCGGAAGTAGCACCACACTATATCCAGCTGGAGCACTGCATAGTTATCTACTGTGTCCAGCAGTTCTCTGCAGCACTCACTATAAAGGAGAAAAGAAGGGATGCCATTAAAATTAGCATTATAGATCTTTTTTTCAATGGCTGGAATTCTTTTTTAGGCATTGGTGGTGTATTCTCAAAGACTAAGTGATCTAAAACAGAAACAGAGATCCCCAGTGTATATGAAGGGAACTCTTTATAATCTGCATCCTTTCAGTGGGAAAAAAGAATTTGGGGCTCAGGAATGGTAGTTTAATAGCATCTATCCCACCACACAAATATTCCTCCCTTGCTATGCTGGGAAAGAGACCTTGGCAGGTAGTGGAGATCTGGGCCACTGGGTCAGAACTGCTCAGCAAATATGGGGAGAACTTGCCTTAAAGCCGGGGTCCCAACCCTGACTGCAAATTAGAATCACCTGGACATGAGGAACCTTTTCTTTTTCTTTTTTTTTTTTTGAGAAAATTATTGCTGGGACCCCACCAAGACTAATTATAACAGAAATCTCTGGGAGTGAAGCCTGGACATTTTATTTCTAGAATCTCCTGAGATGATTCTAATGTTCACCCAGGGTTGAGAGCCATTGCTTGAAAGACAGACAGACAGACATACACACACACGATCACTGTTCCTAAGAAGGCCGCAATTGAGGAAGACCTAGCAATCACATTCAAGCTGGGAGGAAAAAAATGCTGAAGATGCCAGACTTCAATACCAAGCTCATTTCTGAGGGCTAAATGCTACTTCCCAATTGTAGCAGCAGGTTGAACCCAAATACAGAGAGGGAGAGGAAAAAATAAGGCAATAAACAGAAGTCAGTTTGGTCCAGAAAGAAGTATTGACAAAGAGGGACATCAAGATAATTCATTTTTATTTTAAATTGATTACATTAAAAATTCAGAATGCAAATCTAGATCTCAAGTCTGAACTCTCAAATAAGGAAATATTTGGAATCATGCATTACACATTAACATACACTGGTATTCTACTAAAAATAAGACTACTCTTGTATAAAAACTACAATGTCCACATGTCTTTAAGCTTCCTGACTTAACTATGAAAATCTGCTCTGAAAAAAGAAAAACCAAAAGGCACTTGATTAGTCATTTACCCTCTACAACAGTGGTCTCCTAAATGGACAGTCCATGGGGGCACAAAACAAATACACCAGAGCAGTGTTTTTATATTTGCTGTATCTTTCTTTTTAAATTTCTATTGTTATGAATGTTTTATAATATACACCATAATTTACACACACACACACATATGACTGGATGAGGGCACTTTTTCTGAATCTTCTGCTCAGCCTGAGAACTTGACTTTGAAAGAAGAGAAACTTTGTGGACTGTGGTCTGATCTTACACTCAAGATGACATTTACTGATCTGCCTCTAGACACATTCTGACTTCCATGACAAAAGAGTCTCCCACATTTATAGGAGAGCAATGAACAGTTTGCCAGTTTCAATTCCTTACATGTGTGAGCAGGCTCTTCTTCCCTGTTTAATAAGCATCGAGATCAAGACATTTTCTTATATCAGTGTGCTTATCTCAAGCTCAACCTAGAACTGAGCATTTGTAAAGTAAAGAAACAAGTCTCACTTTAAGGAGATGCATTTCATTCTTTTAGCTTCAAAAATAATTTTATACATATACAGGCCTATAAAAGAGATTAAGAAATCAACAATTATATATACTAATTTTGAAACTGTTAGGCTTATATTTGAACCTGATCAAATCACTCAGGAAAAAAATTTTTTTTTTAAAGTCTTACAAAAATTGGTCTTAGACCACATACTTATTAATTGTTAGGCCGAAGCAAACCCAAGCCACCAACATTTCAGTTAGCAGCTTCCTCTGGGTGTCAAGCCCTGATGAGACAGCCTGATAAGACAACCAAAGTGACAGAACCCACCCAGACTGGAAAGTCCCACACAGTGGCAAACTTCCTCTTGTGAAGCCCCCTCATGCTAATTAAGTGCAGACCCATGCTAACAGCTAATTGGACCCCACCATTTCCTTAGTGTCCCCACTTAGGTCCTCCACAAGACTATAAACCCTCCCCTCCCCAGCCAGGCGGTACGACTTCTCGGGCCCCTCTCAGGGACACGTGAACCTCGCCCGGGCCCCTCTCTGAGGCCCGTAAACCTCACCCAGAAACTCAGAATAAAAACTTCTCTTTAACCTCACTTTTGTGTGTCCTCTTCTCCTTACTGTGGCCTTACATTAATATTGCTATGGTTTATGATTTTAGCAGCTTTAATATTCAACATTGTCAATTAATTTTCATGTTGAAAACATTAATTAAAATAAATTAAAAATCTTTATTTAAATAAAATCAACCAAGTCTAGCTTTACATAAATCCCATTTGGGCTTAAGCCAAATATTTAATAGAAATTTATTATGTTGGGCTTACAAGTTTAAAATTTTATACAAAATAAAGATATTACTTTCAAGAAAGGTAAGAAAAGCTAAACTTTGTTTTTCAAGAAAAGTTGGTTAAAAAGCATTTTTAGTTTTATCATTGGTTTTAAGGAATTGGATTAGAGTGTGACTTCATTATAGTGTAGTTTCATTCAGAGTTCTTGTACTTGGGGTTCATTAAGGTTCTTAAAACTGTGAGTATAGTTTGTAACAAACTGGTAAAAATTTTGACCATTATTTTTTGAAATATCTTTTTGTTCCTCTCCTCTTCCTTTCCAGGGACTCTAATTACACATATATTAAGCCACTTAAAGTTGTCCCACAGCTTGCTAATGTTCTGTTCATTTTTTTTTCTGTTTTATTTTGGATAGTTTCTATTGCTGTGTCTTCAAATTTTCTAATCCTCTCTTCTGCAATATCTAATTGCTGTTAATACCACCCAATGTACTTTTCATCTCAGAGACTGTATTCTTCATCTCTTAAAAATCCAACATGGGTCTTCTGTATATCTTTCATGTTTCCATTTAACACGCTCATATGGAATACAGCTGTAATACCTGTTTCAGTGTCTTTGTCTACTAATTCTATGTCATTTCTGGATCTGTTTCTACTGATTCATTTTTCTCCCCACTGTTGTTGTTGTAATGTGTCGTCGAGTCGGACCTCAACTCATAGCGACCCCTCCTTGGGTTTCCAAGGCAGTATCACTACGGAAGTAGATTGCCCCATCTTCCTTCCAAGGAGTGGCTGGTGGGTTTGAACCACCAGCCTTCTGGTTAGCAGTCAAGTGCCTTAGACGCTACGTTACCAGAGCTCCCACTATGACTCTCATTTTCTTCCTCTTTGCATGCCTGGTAATTTTTAATTGGAGGCTGAATATTTTTATATTGCTGTAAATATTATTGAGCTTTTTCCAGAATGAAGTTACCTGACAACAGTTTGATTGTTTCTAGGCTTGCTTTTAAGCTTTGTTAGGTAGGATCAGAGCAGCCTTTAATGTACAGCTAATTCTGCCCTACTACTGAGGCAATATCCTTCTATACAATGCACCTAATTATGACATTTTCTACTCTGGTTGGTGGAAATACAACTATTTGTGGCCCTTTGTGAGCTGAGAATGTTTCTGCTGCTTTTGGGTGGTGCTTTCCCAACTTCGGTAGTTTCCTCACATGTATGAATTGATCATTACTGAGCAGAAAACTCAAAGGGGACGCTCTGAAGATCTCTAATGTACACTCTGATGGCTCTGAATCATCTCAGGTATGCTGTCCTACAAACTCTAGCCACCTAGGCCTCCTGGATTCCTAATTCTTACCTCTATCTCCTCAACTCAGGGTACCACAAGGCTTTGCCTGGGTTTCCCCTCCCTGTACTACAGAGACTTGGGACTCTCTCTAGGCAAATTGCTAAAGCAATCCCAGGGCTCACATTGTTTGTTAACCCTATCTCAGGGATAACTGTTTTGCATTGCCTAAAAACCACTGTTTCACATGTTTTTTCCACTGTTTTGTTTCAGCAGAGAATAAATCCAGTTATTACCCCATCTTGGCCAAAGGTGGAAGTTTCACCTTTAATTTTATATAAGGAGAGAAATTATCTCTGCTCATACTACTTGGCATACTTACACTAATAAGCTATCAGCATCCTATATAACAGAAAGTATGATGAGACTTTTAGCCTACTTTGAGAAGGTAGAAAATAAAATCAAGTGGGGAAGAAAATGAAATAACTTAAATTGTTGGATTATTATATCTACTTCTTACTGAACACATTAATATACCATCAGCTGAAGAGAGTTATTTTTATTCAGGGGTTCCTTAAGACCTGAACATTATTTCAAAGTATTGTCTAGGGTATAAGGTTGAAAATGGCTTGTATAGATGAATCAAGATCAGTCATGTCTTGATAATTATTGAAGGCTCAATTTTTATGCTTAAAATTGTCCAAAATAAAAAGTTACAAACAATTATGGAAGGGAATGGAAAATTTACCTGAATTTTTTTTTTAATTTAATATATTCTTTTTTCCAATTTTTTTTGTGCTTTGGGTGAAAGTTTACAGAGCAAATTCATTTTTCATACAGCAGCTCACATACACTGTTTCATGACATTGACTGCAATTTCCCACATGCACTTCCTCCCCATAGTTACCTCTTCCCTCTGTTCTTCCCTCCCATGTACTCCTGCCCCCCAAGCTGTCTCCCTATGCATACACAGCCCTTCTGTTCTCCTATGGTTGATCTCTCCAAGGAGTGTATCTACCTAATGTAAATAAATGTTCAGCTCATATGCCTGTCTTCTGTTTGGCTGGAAGCCACAGGAGTGGAATTTACTGAATTTTAAAGACCTAACTCATAGTCTACATCCTTTACAGTAAAGAGAACAGGAATAACAACAGAAAGCACCAGACCCAAAGGCAGACTATGAATCCCGGAGGTACCAAGTCCCTGGCCCTAATTATCCCAGCTTTGCCCCTTTCCTCTCAAATATCTGAGACAATAACTCCTTTTTTGGCTTAAGTTATTTTAATTTGGATTTTTTTCACTTAAAACCCAAAGAATCTGACCCATACAGATGGCATAGTATAAACATTTGTATTCATCTTCAGTATTAATTTGAGAATTCACGAAAATGGGAAATATACTACAGTTGTTAACTTTTGACCATTTTCAAATACCAAGTTAATTTTTCAAATATTTAGTATGCCTGGATTATAGTATCTAACTACCATTTTCCATTCAGAAATTCTTGGGGAAATTTCTGATTCCAGTATGGGACAGGAAATGTCCAAGGTGCATCTGGAATACCTTTAGTTATCAGAGATCTGAGACTACAAAGATTACCAGGATCATGTCAAAGAGACTCAGGAACCACCTGCCAGCCAAAGACAGACAATTTAACCACTAAGGTTTGAAACACATCACATGTGTTAAAATCCACAAGTTCATTCTGATACTTCAAAAAAGAAAGAAAACCTCACTGCTCATCTGTGGAGGATATGTTAGAGAAGCAATGCATTTATTCTGATAACAACAAAATAAAGGGAAAGAATCAAGCACTTTATCCTGTTTTTCCTACAAAAATTATACCTCAGTACGAACAAATAGGAAGTGAGGAAAAATATTTCTTTACAGAAGAACTGCAATTAATAAATGCAGAAGGAATAAAAGAATACCACCCTTTTGCAGCCTCTACTATAAACAACAGATTTGAAGAATGATCATCAATGTCTACACTAAAACCATTAGGTGAAAAGCTGTTGGGGAATTTTATAATGGCTAGTTCAGCTAACGATACATCACAAAAAAGGGAAATATCCTATATGCTTGTTGTAAAATACTTAAGTACGTATGTTAATAAAATTCTTTTCTTTACAGGGAAGGGAGAGCAATTAGAAATATGAAGAGAAGAAATGATTCACAAATCTGCACCATAACCACTATTCCACATTAACCATTGTCTTGAGTGATAATCTAAAGTCTAAAGTGTACAGAGGAGAGGGAAGGTGCTGTGTAAAATCCGGGCCATCTACCTTAAAACTGGTATTCACCAAGAACAAAAGTTCCTACCAGAAATATCTGTCAGCGTCCAACAGACATGGCAATGCTATTCCATATTCTTTTCTTTTCAGGAAAGCTCTGCCCTTCTCATGATATCCCATAGCTAACATAAGGGCCTAGGAAAAAATATGGATTTAAAAAACATCACTTTAAATTATAATAAAACAAATTATATTAAAAGTTTATTAACTCTAAAAATCTAACAAAGTAAAAAACAAAACTAAAGCAGATAACAACTAAATCTAAAAGCCAAAATTAAGGAAAATATAATTAAATCTTTATTTTATTTAAACACTGAAAAGAAAAAAAAAAAAGACAACACTCAACAATTTAACATGGTTGATGTGGTCACAACCAGTATTTGCCCCATTTTCTCCATCGGTTCATTTTAGTACCTGCTGCTCTACATTTCCTTGTGGTATTTTATAAGATCTAACTTGTAAGAAAGCAGCCAGTAATCCTTTGTAAAGAGAGAGTTCACTTCACTTTCTATTCTTTTTTTTTTTTTTTCAAAGCAGATTTGTTTTATATTCAACAGCTCATGCACATTTGATTTCATGGCCCAATTACCATTCCCAGCCATAAAAAGCCCTTCATCCCTGTGACTACCCACTCCCTGTGCCCTTCTTAACTATGCACTCCTGTCTCTCCAGCTTTCCCTCTTTGTGAATGCTGCCCCCATGGCTGATTACTCTAAGGGGTACATCTCCCTAGAGTAAATGGGTGCATCAGCCTGGGGGTAGGTGTTCTGCATGTAGGTCTGTCTACTGTTGGGCAGAGAGCTAATCCATGGGACTGAGCCCATTTCTAGGTCTGAAGAGTAATGTGGGGCCATAGTCTTAAGGGTTCCACCAGACTCTATCTGACCAGCAATTCTGGTAATTTTTGTGTTTTTGAATTTTATTCTACATTTTTCCTCTCACTCTATCCAATATAAATTTTATATCATTTAATATAAAATAACAGTGAGCAGAGAACCACCATTTTTAGAAAAATAAACATCAATCTAAACAAAATAATCCATATAGTGATGTCTACTCAAAGCTGTGCTATAAAAACAGAATTATTAAAATTAACTTGACCCATAGTCATTAGAACTCGTCCTTAGAAGAAGCTATTGTATCCTAGCTCAGAAACTTGTCTCAGGGTGAAAAATATAGAACCCTATTATGAAGACCCCACTGTATATGTTCAAAGAGGAAATCACCTCCTATCTTTCCAAATTACAGAACAGTTGGGAAAAGAGGAGATGTCAGGATCACTGTCAGAGTTTCCCTAAACTACCTAGCACCACTGCCCCTTATTCAGATACAACTCAGGGGACCCTAAGAGTTTTACCCTCTAGTAAAATAAGCCAAACCAAACCACACTAACCACTGCCAGAGGAGGCTGGCTATTCTGAAGGCAGTGGACCCATCTTCAACAACATCACCAGAGGATGGAAAGACATAGCATTTTGTTAGCTCTCTCAGAACCATAGGGAAGACCTATGATGTGCAAATGTTGATCACATGGTATAGTCTCTGCTAATATAGTTCCAAACAAAATAACTTTCTTAATCTTTCATAGCATCCCAAAATAAACAGAAAATTACCTCAATTTTGAGAACAAATCTAAGAACTAACCATAACCCTCTTACAGTACTTACTTTTCTCTCTGAGGGGGGAATTGTGATTGATCTGCCTGTCTGGTTGGCTATGTCTAAGTAAGGGGTAGTTTCTGGATCCACCACCATTTCAGCTGCAACAAAACCAAAAGGAACTTCACTATTCATTGTTAAAGAACAGGGAGAAGACTACATTAAAAACATCAGACTGTTCAGGAAAAAAAAAAAATCCACAAGAAATATGACAACTCCTCACAGTTGCATGATTCACTGTCACACTTTAACTAGTCAGTCAAAGTTCTGTGTACCTCTTTCGGCCAGTATTTCCAGTCCTCTCTTAGTCCTCTGTATTCTTTTTTCTTTTAGTTTGGCTTCATTTTGCTCTTCTTCTTCTACCTGAACGTATTTCCTCACATCCTCTTCGGATTGTTTTAGTTCCAGCACCATAGCCTTCACATTGTGTGTCACTCCTTGCTCTTCCAGTGTTTTCCCTATAAAAATCAGAATTGCAAATTATAAAGAGAATCTTTAAATTTACTGAGTCATGAGCCACTCTGTATGATAAATGGCATTCTGAAACCTGCATTAACATTTTCAAGCTACTATGCCAGCATAGTGCCTAAGTCATTTCATGCTAGCCAGACGGCTGGCAGTTCAAACCCACCAGTCACTCCTTGGAAGGAAGGCTGGGCAATCTACTTCCGTAGTGATACTGCCTCGGAAACCGGTTGCCATGAGTCAGGTTCGACTCAACAGCAGTGAGTTTGTTTGTTTGTTTGTTTTTTTATGCTTCATATTGGGAAGAATATGCTTGCTTACGTGTGATTGTGGAAATTGACAGTTAGGCAGTTATTAAATCAGCCAGTGAATACAGAACCAAGTTCAGGCTCTCCAGTGGTCTTTATTCTGGACACAAGACTGAATCAAAGTAACAAATATTTGGAAGTCTACTACAGGAAAGCACTGTGCCAGGCAACATTAAGGAAAATCAGCAAAGATAATACACAAATTTTTCTGTCCTCTGGTGGGAGAAATAATAAACTCGATTCATAGCCACAGACAAAGCTATAATGCTGAAGAGCACTGCAAGAAGTAACTAACAAACCAAAAAAAAAAAAAAAATCACTGCCATCAACTCGATTCAGATTCATAGCGACCCCAGTAGGTTTCTAAGGCTGTAAATCTTTACAGAAGTAGATTGCCCTGTCTTCCTTCCACAAAGTGCCTGGTGGATTTGAACTGCCAACCTCTGATCAGCAGTCAAACGCCTTAGACACTGTGCCACCTACAGTAGTGGATAAAAACAAAGGTGATGGCTCCACTTTTTAACTCTGTGGCCCTGAGTAAACTGCTTATCTCCTAGGCTTCAACTTCCTCATATATAAAATGTAAATAAAGGTAAGGGCCATAAATCAATAAACAGAATAAGAGAGAGAATGAGAATATTAACAAAGCTAAAAGCTAAACCTAATAGAAATTAAAGGTGCAAATAAATAACATATAAAATGAAAAAGAAGATATGAAGAGATACAAATAGATTTTTTAATAAAATCATATTATGAATTATAAGCATATAAATTTGAAAACATTTCTGGAAAAAATATTAAATGCCAAAATCTTCATAAGAAAAGAAAATTTGAATAGGCTATAACTACTATAAAAATTAAAATAGCAACAAAAATACTCTCCTCCATTCATACTGTTATGGATTAATTTATGTCCCCAAAAAAGTATGCTCAAGTCCTAACTCCTAGTACCTGTGAATGTGACCTTATATGGAAATAGGGTCTTTACAGATGTAATTAGTTAAGTTTACATGAGGTCACAGTGGAATAGGGTGGGCCATAATCCAATGAATGGGGTCCCTATAAGAAGAGAAGAAAAGATACACGAAGAGATACAAAGGAAAGATGGCCATGTAAAGATGGAGGCAGAGACTGGAGTTATGCTGCCACAAGCAAAAGAATACCTAAGACTATAAAATACTTAAGGCTATAAGACAAGAAATGATTCCTCTCCCAGAGCCTTCAAAGAGACAGCATGGCCCTAGCAACACCTTGATTTCAGACTTCTAGTCCCCAGAACTGTAAGAGAACAAAATTGTATTGTTATAAGCCACACAGATTATAGTACTTTATTATGACAGCTTTAGGAAACTAATACAAATACACATTAAAAAAATAAATAAATAAACAAGCAAATAAATCAGTGAGGCCCCATCCTCAGACATTTTTATGGGCAAGTTCTACCAAACCTTTAAGGAACTTATACAACTGGTTCCATAAAGTATAAAGTCAAAAAGTTGCCTAACTCACTTTATGAGCTAATATAACCTTGACTCCAAAACCAAACAAGAAAATTATAGGTTAATTTCACTTGTAAAAATCTTATGTAAAATATAAGCTAATTATTAATAATTACAATAATGTAAAATATAAGCTTAATTAAAATATAAGCATTTGAAAAAAAGTACAAAATGATAAGATAGCATTTATTCCAAAAATACAAGAATGATTTAACATTAGAAAATCTATCATATGTATATGTATATGCATCTATGTGACTGTATGCACATATATTCATATATCTAATAAAGCACATTGGGGGCACAGTTATGGATACTTCTTAGACATAACCAAATACCTTGTGGGATTGGTTTCCTCATTTTTTTTTTTAAAGGATATTTTACTATTTTCAGTGAAAGTTTATATAGTGAATTAGGTCCACTTGACAATTCCTATACATATCATTCAGTAACATTAGTTACATTTTTTACAATGTGTCAACATTCTCTTGAAGTGCATTCTGGTTGTTCCATTTTCAGTGCTTTAGTTTCGCTGTCCCCTCATCTATGCTTTAGGGTAATTGTTACCTCTTGATCTCATAAAGATAGTTTTTTAAAAGAGCACTGCCCACAGGTAATATCCTTTATTTGGGGTGCCAATCTGTTATCTCACTAAAATGTGACCTCAGAGGATAGTTTCAGTTCAGATTTTTTAAAAATATCTCAGGGCAATAGTCTCGGGAAGTCTTCTAGTCTCAAATGGTCCTGTAAGTCTGGACATTTTAAAAATATAAGTTCCATTCCATGTTTTTCTCCTGTTCTGTAAGGATCCATCTATTATGGCCCTGATCAGAACAGCAATAGCCAGGCACCATCCAGTTCTTCTGGTATCATGGAAGATGAGGCCATGGTCAGTGTAGGCTATTAGTCCTACAGACTAGTTTCTTTCCTGAGACTTTGGTTTCCTTCTGCTCCACACAAGTATAGAGCAAAATTTTTATCTCAGATGGCTGCTCACAAGTTTTTAAGAGCCTAGATGCTACACACTTCACTCTAAAACTAACTCACTGCCATCGAGTTGGATCTGACTCATAGGGACCCCTCCTTGGGTTTCTGGGGCAATTATCACTATGGAAGTAGACTCCCAATCTTCTTTCCAAGGAGTGGCTGGTGGGTTTGAACCACCAGCCTTCCAATCAGCAGTCAAATGCCTTAGGCACTATGCCACCAGAGCTCCCACACACTTCACTGAGATGCATAAAATGAACTTTGTGAACTACATTATGCCAATTGATGAGTTGTTCCATGACACTAAGGTTCGAAGCCTTCAAACGCAAAAAAAAACAACCTCACAAGGTGTTTGGTTATGTCTAAGAAGTATCTGTAACTGTGTCCTCTATGAATATATATGCATGCACATACATATCTATACATACACATACAATAGATACTTCTATCTATGCATACATACGTATACACATGTACCTACTTCTACACATGTATGCCTAAGCACATAAATATGTGACCATATACTTATTTTTTGGTTATTGTTGGTGTTATAGCTAAATTATATATGTTGTATTTTTTAACACAAACATCCTTTTCTCTTGTGTGCTTCTTAATGGCATCATTTATTTTATCTAAGCTGTGCTCATTACAACCTCACTCAATGCTGCTTTTCCTAACACCAAAAATAACAAATATCTATGATCTAGAGAGTGATTCTCCCTCTTCCTTCATATCCCTGGTAACTATCAATGAACACTGGTCTCTGTACATACATTTATTCTTATCTTCTTATAAAAGTGGGATCATACAATATTTGTCTTTATTTTACTTAGCAATGTATCTTCCAGATCCCTCCATGTTATAATGTTTCATGGACTCATATTTCTCTATGGTTGAACAGTATTTCATTTATGTATGTATTACATTCATCCACTGAAGGGCATTTAGATTCTTTCCATTTTTTTTTCCCTATAATGCTTCAATGAACACAGATGTGCAAATGAGTTTTCTGGGTTTGAAGGATAAGGACCATAGTCTCATGGGACATCTTGGTCAATTGACATAATATAGCTGATAAAGTTATGCTCTACATCCTAGTTTGGTGAATAGCATCTAGGGTCATAAAAGCTGGAGAGCAGCCATCTAAAATACAAATATTGGTTTCTACTTGTCTAGGGCAAAAGAGAAAGAAGGAAACCAAAGACTCAAAAAAGAAACTAGTCTACAGGACAAATAGCCTACATGAACCATGACCTCATCTACCTTGAGACCAGAAGAAATAGATGGTGCTCAGCTACCACTACTACTACCAGCAATTCTAAATCAAGAACATAACAGATGGCCCCTGATAGAATGGAAGAAAAATGTAGAAAAGAACTTCAAATCCTACGCACCCCCCCCAAAAAAAGCTAGACTTACTAATTGAGACTGGAGAACTCCCTGAGACTATTGCCCTGAGATTCTCTTGAAACTCTGAAGTGAAAGTAACAGCTGAAGTCACCTTTGTAGCTAAATAACAGATTGATTCACAAAATAATGAGTATCACCCACAGTGCTATATTCCTTTGAAAAGTCATCTGTACAAAACCAAACGTCAACAATTACTTTAGAACAAAAATGAGAATATAAGAGGGCAGGGAAACTAGATTAATGGAAATGGAACAACAAGAATGGGAATAATGAAAATGTTCACACATTGTGAAGAACATAACCAATGTCACTGAACAATTTGTGTAGAAATTGTTGAATAGAAACTTAAATTGCTTTGTAAACCTTTACCAAAACCACAATAAAATATTACTTAAAACAAAGAAGATCTAACAATGTAAATTCCCACGATATTAAAGGAGAAAAATTACATGATTATTCCAATAGATACAGAAAAAAAAAACACTTGGAAAAGTCCAACCTGTGTTTTATAAAACAACAAAAACATACATATACACAATCTTCTTTAAAAACAAGAAATAGAAGTGAACTTTCTTTACTTGATAAAGTCTAGATACCAAAAACCTATTATAATAATTTTATATGGTAATTAAGTGTGACCAATGCAGAAGATAAGAAAAAAATAGAAAAGAGCAAGAAGAGGGAAAAGATTTAAAAACTTTATTATTTCCACATGATATGATCGTATACATAGATATTCCAAGAAAATCAACAGCCAAATCAATAGATTTAGTAAAAAAAAATTTTGTA